AACATGATCTACCATATCCAACACCAACAGATACCAATGTGAATTATGGTAGTTTATTGTGATCATGATCTGCAACAAATTTCACACCCAATTTGACAAAATTCAACATTCTATATCCGAAAACATCATTTGCAATTGGTATGGTGTCTTACCTTCTCACAGTCGGTGAATTTCACATAGTTATCCAATATGACACCCCAGAAGGTAGAAATACTCTCAACACTTTCTTTGTTGTTGGCTTCCAACGCCTGTTGCTGTAATTACGCAACAAACATTATTAATTTACCGTCTATAACACTACTTTTCAATATTTATTAATTTAACTCACCACTAAGAGGTATGGAAGGTAGCCAATCCTCCGGAGTGACTTTTGAGAATCGTAGCATATGGTCCAGGCGAGCAAATCGATAACCTAACAAAATTAATTACACAATCAGAACATATTCAATAAGTTTTAACATTTTCTACTTTCTACTTACCACACCGCCAACCCATTCCGTAGGCTTCAACGTTGCAACGTCGTATACAGTAGCGAATTGATTTCCCATTGAGATTACAGAATATCTGTATGAATCATTAGGATTAATATGTTGTCATGAAATATTTAAATATCACTCACAAAACAATATATTTCACTTACCCCGATTCTAACTCGCTATTCCATAAATAATCACAAATTGCAGCTTCGATGTCATCAATTCCGCTTGGAATATCTGCTTTTTCAACCTACAATTTTGCATACAAATTTTTGTCACAACAACATAATAAAAATCAAATTAAGTATTCTTTTATTAAACTTACCTTCTGCTTCTTCTTCTGGGGTGCAGGACATTCCAATCCAAAACTGCTGCTATAACACTCTCCGGTGTATAAATGACATCGACTTCCTTCCTCCTCATTTCTTCCATCTCTTCTTCTTCCTCCTCCCTCTTTTCTTCTTCATATTTTTTCAGTTCATCGTACTTTTTTTCTACATAGCTCTTCATCTCTTTTATTTCACCCTTCAATTGAGCTCCTTCATCCGAGTATTTATCAACCACCCCCTTCACCCCCGTGAGTTCACTCCTCAAATCCACAACCTCCTTCACCACTCCCTCAAATTTTTCTCCCGTCACCATCTTAATATCACCCCTTAACACCCCAACTTCTTTCACCACTTCACCCCTCAACACCTCTACTTCATTCACCACTCCATCTATTTTTCCTTCCACTACCCCCTTATGCCTCTCGAGTGTATCTTCGACTCTCTCGAGTTTCTCTACGACTTGATCAAGTTTCTCTTCGACTCTTGATTGTCTTTGCATGATTTCAAATTGGATTTTTTTGATATCAGCCAATTCAGACATCAAAATGTCGAAGTTACTCTGTTTTGCTTCACCGTCGTCCCACTCACCGTCATCCCCCAATACAACCATCCCTCCTTTCTTCTCCTCTGCCTCCACTGCCTCCTCTACATCCTTGCCAATAACCTTCAAAATTAAATTACAATATTAAGACATTGATTATATTCTTAATATTATTTAATTACATTTATTACCATTTCTTGCTTCTTCCCTCTATCCAACTTCAACTTCACCATCACTCTAACCACCTCTTCCTTCCCCCATGCACGGATGCGTGCCACTCCGGTTCTTTCATAAGCCGGCACTGCCTCACAGCCCGACCAAAAATCGAACAGTGCAACCTGCATTTATAATAAAATTTATATTTTTATATAAAAACACAAAAAAGTGATTCAACTCATTTACCTCTAAGATTGCTATACACCCTTTGAGGTATCTCTGGCTGCCCTTTTTAAAGGTGATTATTGATTCAATCAATCTCGAATGGATATATTCAGCCCAATTGAATTCACCCTTCAAGCCTTCATCGCAAATGAGCTTCATATATTCCTTGTTCGTTGACGTATCACTCGTTGGACAAAGAAATATCCCGACAAGGTACAATAGAACTCGAGCCTTCAGCTCATCCCCCCAGTAAGATCCACTTTTGATATCCTCTTCAACTTCAACATATGTCACCTTATGATTCAAACCATATTTGGAGGCAAGTGCTTTCCAGTTCTTACTCCTACAGACTTCTATAACACTTTTGCCTTTGTTTTGTACCCCCAATACGGCTGCAGCAGTCGATACCCCCAGAGGGAATGAATAATCACCATACTTAGCCATACATTGACTGACGTCAAATTGTGCCATCAAGGATCGACACAATTCCCTCCGAATAGGTCGATCCCTTACTCCGATCAACGATCCAAAACCTATTTCTCCCAGCACATTCAACTGATCCTTCTCCTTAAGGTGTTTAATTAATAAATTCACCCTTTTAATGCTGCATCTTGTCGACACTTCCTACATTTTTTAACAATATATAATGTTATAGTTCTTATATATTTTGTATCAACGTATTTACAAGTTTAATGAATACCTTATTTTCATGTGCTTTCCTCCGTTCTTTGTACTCTTTACTATCATTCCTTGACTGTGTGATGTAAGGTTCCTTTTCAGCATCACTCATTGAATTCCATTTGGACCTCACATCTTTTTTCACCTAATATTAAACATAAACGTTTCTTAATCAATACATTAACACTAAATACTAATACTACTCAATGTCAATTTCATTTTACATACCGAACCGCTCTGTGTGCCATCTCCCTTCATCCTTTTGCATTCGGCCATACTGTTAACATTTAAAATTTGTAATCAATTTAAAGTTTATCGATACTTTAATCCAATTACCATTTCAACAATAATAACAAAAGGACATTGATACTTACTAGAAGTACATATATCCACCTTTTGGTTGCTTTCGAGTCTCGGCCTCAATTTCAAAGTCATCTGCTCCACCAACAATTTTCCAACCCATTGACTCCATTTTTCCTTCATATATCAGTTTACGCAAATCAAATTATTTCGTTACATACACTTTATTCAATATACAAATATAGATAACTACTCTTGTGGTAAAACGGTTTTCTTCAAAAGAATTTGAATGGCCACACCAAAATGTGTCGGCACATTTATACAACCTATAATATCATTTTCTACCTATAATATTTAATAAAAGTATCGACATTTATATTTTTCCTTGAATATCTATTTCTACCTGCAATCGGTCCCAAATGCTTCCTTACTCCAAAACCCCAAACAACACATAAAAAACCCTATCGCGATTACTGTAATAATAAAAAATTAGGGTTTCGACAACATACTTTTCGATTCGACTGCAGCAACAAACAAACAAACTTCGCTTTAGAAACGCCTTCTGAAATGCAGCAACAATTACTCTTCGATTTCAAAAACTCGTCTGTTCTATCTTTTTTCAGAGGATATTTAGCTATGGCCTTTATATTTTCATCGGATATGTTATTTATATTTAATCGATACAAATATAAAAGTGTCGATACTTTTATGTCAGGTGTCGATACTTTCGGAAGGATAATTACCTATTTCTTTGAAAGTGTCGATAATTTATTACACGTACTTACGAAAGTATCGACACTTTCAATATATCCGGTATCATTTTACCGGTTTTATCATTTTGATACCGGCTTTATCATATTTTTACCTGTTATATCGTTGTGGATCGATATATTTTTTTAAAGTATCGACACATTATAGGCGCTATAACTGCTTCTCTTTTAAATTCACAAAGTGTCGATCCTTATATAACGTATCGACACTTTTAAATTTACCGGTTTTATCATTTTGTTACCGGTTTTATCATATTTTTACCTGGTATATCGTTTTGGATCGATATATTTTTTAAAAGTATCGACATTTTTTAGGATTTAAAACTGCTTTTAAAGTTATGTAATTTATGTTTCAATTTATTTAATAGTGTTTCATGTTTTCCACATACAATATTAATTTAATAATTTAATTTACACAAAATTTTATTTGATTGTTTTGATATTTTATAAAATATTATTTAGATTTTAAATTTAACAATATTAACTAAAGATAATAATAAATATATTTTCACAGTGAAATAAGTATGGACACTTTTATAAAAAGGATAGATAATTTACAATATAACAGGTAAAAATATGATAAAACCAGATTCATTATGACAAAACCGGTAAAATTTACTTGATATGTTAAAAGTATGGACACTTTTATAAAAAGGATAGATACTTACCGATAACCAAAGTTTACCGGTTACCAAATTTTTTAATAGTTTTTCATATTTTCTATCTAAAACATTATTAGTTGTCAACATAATAGGTACCGCTAAACCGAATTTATTAAATACATTTTAATGTATCCGGTAATACTGTATATTAGCCGTATATTAACCCGCCATTTCTGAGACATTCCCCCAAAATGGGACCCTTAGGGCATTTAATTCATTTCCATTTTTTTTCTTTTTATTTCGTTCCTCTAACTGACCAACTACTCCCTCTGACTGAGTCGGCTCTCTTCTGCAGTTCTTCATTCAGATAAAGGTTAGATCTTTGCGTGTTTTATTTTTAATTCTCTTAGTCTTGTTTTTTTTGGCTTGGCTTGTCTTCGATGGGTCTGTATCTGTCGATCTGGTGATATTGAAGTAGCTTTTAATAACAATTTCTTTTCGTTTTAGTGCTAAGCCTGAAACATATAATGATTTCTTTTGTTTTTGTTGCTTTCTGCCTGTCAAGTTTTGAACAACTGTGACTCCAGCTTCTCCATGTATGAGTCATTATATTGATGAACTTAGGTGCAGGAATAGTTCTGTGCATCGGTTTTTCTATTTAGGGTATGTTCCATCAATATTGGATGTCAAGTCTTTCTGAAAATGAAACTAAAACCTGTTTATTGATCATGTTAATATCTTTGGATTTTTTTTGTTCTGATTTTTCCTTATTTCTCTGTTTTTTTTTAATTTCTGAATTATTTTTAAACTAAAACCAAAAGTCAGGGTCCAACTGGGTCCAGCTTTTACTTTGGGTTTCTAATGTGTAAATATGATGGATAATGGAAGAAAAACAGCATCCTTTATTTTCTTTTCTATTGCTTTTTTTATTATATTGGGTGAAAACTCAAAACATATTGTTAGTTTCCAAGTATTAATGGTTTTTTCTAAAAAGATAAAAAAGTACAGTTTACAGCTTAGGGTTCCGCCGTTCTAACATAAAAAGCCGGCGACAAGACCACCGCTACCTCCTCCTCGAGGAAGACGATGACGATGACGTGGGTAGAGAGATTTCCCGCCAAGCTCACAAGAACAAAGCTAATTGGGGCAGATTATTTTCGATTGAGAATTCATTTTGAGATTTCTCTAGGTGCCTTTTGTTTTTTGGTATGCTAATTGTTCGACGCTTATTTTCTTGATTAGTTTTTCCTTTTTCCTGGAAATATAGGGTTCAGATTATTTAAGTGAAATAGGAATTTCTACGTTTGACTTGCGATTTATAAAAAAAAAATTGTAAGGTTTTGGTTGCAGTGTTTTTTGTAAATTGAATGGGAATTTTGGGAGTTCTGGTAAATTATTTTGCTAAGTTCAATTAAGGTTTCAGTGACTTTGTAGAGTATAATAGTATTATTGTCCTTATGTAATTATTTATTTGTTTTGAGGTTTCAGGCAATCATGAGCGACGAAGGAGAAAAAACCTGTCCCCTTTGTGCGGAAGAGATGGATTTGACTGATCAGCAACTGAAGCATTGCAAATGTGGTTATGAGGTCTGAATTATTTTTCTTTTTTCCTTCTAAAATATTTCTTACATTTGTTTGTGCATACAAAAAACCTGAAAAGAAGTAAAAATGTCATAAATAAATATCAAATTGGAAAAAGGGGGTGACAATTTGTGTCATCGGCCTTACCTATTTTGATCTTTGAGGCAGATACGTGTTTGGTGTTGGCATCACATAATGAATATGGCTAAGGATAGTGCAGTGGGGAGGTGTCCAGCATGTCGTAGTGCTTATGATAAAGACAAGATAGTAGGAACGACTACTAATTGTGAGAGGTTGTTAAGCTCCCTTGCCTTTTATTCTCATTAAATATTTTGCAACATTTGCCTGCCATCATCTCATGTATGTTGTTTCAATAAACAGGTTGGTTGCTGAAGTTAATATGGAAAGAAAAACGAAGTCGCAAAAAGCAAAGACTAAATCATGTGAAGGAAGGAAGCAACTGAGCAGTGTGCGAGTTATTCAAAGGAATCTTGTTTACATTGTGGGGTTGCCACTTAATCTGGCAGATGAGGAGGTGCTCTCTTTCCATCCTCACTTTCTACATCTGCAATCTACTGGTGATATTTGACCTAAGCTAACATCTCTTCTGTGCAGCTTCTCCAACGTAGAGATTATTTTGGTCAATACGGGAAAGTTCTTAAAGTATCTATATCTCGGACTGCAGCTGGTGTCATTCAGCAATTTCCAAACAATACATGTAGTGTGTAAGTACATTATCTAATGTATTTGGTTTTAAGTCTTCCAAACATTTAGACCTTGTTTTATGCATTGTTTTTTTAATAGAAGTCATTGTATCATATATATCTTACCATTTTGTAGTGTTCTTTTTGCCTCTTTTCTGAACCCCGGTAACTAAGAAATTTATTTTTTTTCAACTAAGTTTGTTTATACTGTAAACAGATATATTACGTACTTAAAAGAAGAGGAAGCGATTCGTTGTATCCAGTCTGTACATGGATTTGACTTGGACGGTAGACCATTAAAGTACGGGAATGTGTTTGTGGAATTATTTCTTTTGTTATTGGTTGAATGCATATGCGGTCTTGGTTATCTTCTCTAATACTTGAAATGTTCATTTCAGGGCATGCTTTGGTACAACAAAGTATTGTCATGCATGGTTGAGAAATGTGATATGTTTAGAAGTGATTTTTGATTAATTTATTTTGTAAATTGGAGTGAATTTAATGTTGTTTCCGCTAGTTATATAAATTACTATAAAAAATTAGTATTGAAAATTTACGCACTAATTTATGATATTTTACTCAAAAGGCTATACTCTATCTTCTCTTCAAATTGGTAGAGACTTAATTCATTTAATTAATTGCCAAAATAGTTTGAAAGCATTAGTCACAGTACAATATTTGACATGTAAAAAAAAGAAAATCTAGAACTTAAGTAATGGACAAAATATGAAAAGTTTGTGATTTGCCAGCTTGTAAAATTGCAAAATATGAAGGAAAACAATGATGGTAATAATATACTAGGAAACATGATAAGCTTTGTTACTGTAATAGAAAAATAATGTTCTTTTTGGGTTGCAGCCTTGCACCAATCCTGATTGTCTATATTTGCATGAGATTGGTCCACAAGAGGATAGTTTCACAAAAGATGAAATCATATCAGCCTACACAAGGTAAATTGCTTGAGTTTTCATGTCTTCTGTGTTTTTTCTCTTGTACATGTAACTTATTTTTGAGATGAAGAAAATCAACAAGTATATGTTTTCTGATTTTAATGATTTTAATTTCATTCATTTATTAGTAAAAACAATTAGAGGTGGCATATACATGCATGTATACTTTTTATGGTAGCCCACGTGAAAGGGTGCTATCATATGCTCCGAGAAAGCCTTTATACGCCCCATTATATTGGAAAGTATGTTAGAATGGCATTTGTTAACTTTTATTTCTTTGGGATATTGGCGTATCATTTTTGATAATGCTTCAAAAAGCAGTAAATTGGGGAGCTAGTGAGAGAAGCTCCTGCTTCTCTCTAGAATCCAGGCGACCTTCTAGCTACTCATAAGAATCAGGTGTCAGTCGTTCGTCCCCCTTCAGTGCTCTTCAACGTCTTTCGCCGTCGTTATCCTCCGACATTTCTCACCGTCGTCCGCCGCCACTTTTCGACTGCCATTCGAGCTCAAATTTCACAGGGAGGTTCGTCTCTTCACTGTGTTTTCGAATTTGGACCTTTCTTTGCGAGAAAAACTCCCTATTGGCGTAGATCTCAAGTTGTAGGCTGCGACTTTTCACCTTCTCCAGCGCGTTTTGGATTTTTTCGTCGGCCCCGTGCAAGACCCATAATATATAGCTCGTGCATGTCCTGATAAAAGCCCCACTGCGCGTTTTCTTTTATGGTTCATGGCGTCCCAGTTGAAGTCCCAAGATTTTCTCGTCTTGTATGTGTTTTTATGTCTACTCTCAGCTCCTCTCTGTAGCCTGGTGGTGGCGTCTGTTTGGTCTTTTTTAACGTGGTTGTGTTTCAATGGAGGATGGGTGTTGTGGTGACAAGTCTGGTGCAGTAGTAAGAAGTGGGAGAATCGATAACAATAATTGGTGGAAGGAAGGCCGCCCAAAAAACAATAATGAGTACAAAATTGGATGCTATACGTTATACATTGAAAACCTATCAGAGAAGATCCATTGAAAGTGGTTTGGGTCTTTATTTTGCACCCACGGTCAAGTAATTGATGCCTTTATTCCAACCAAAAGAAATATAAATGGGGTTCATTTCGGGTTCATACGCTTTGCAATAATTGAAGAAGCCAGGAAAGCGATCTCAAAAATGAATGGTTCTCACATTGACGGTAGCAAAATTGGTGTCTATTTGGCTAAATACAAGCCTCGACAATCTTATTGGAGAAAGTCCTTGACAGTTGTCTGAAAGACTACGATGGGAGTATTTACAAGGAATAATCTCTATGCAGTAGAAGATGTTGTTGACGAAGCTAAACTTCAAGCGTTGGGAAACTGTCTAATGGAGTGGTGCAAGAACTTTATCAAAATCGGCAATCTTGCTAGCCAAATGCAAGACAAAGGCATCGTTGGTTTCTCGTTAATGAGAGCTGTTGGGAATGCAATTCTATTGATGTTTGAAAACTCTGCTACGTTGAGAAGTGTGAAGAATGAAAAATCAGATACTCTTGCAGAGTGGTTTTCCAGAGTTGCAGCTTGGTTGGAGAGTCTGGTGGTAGAGTGACGTCGAGTGTAGGTAGTTTGCGAAGGGATTCCTTTTCACGCTTGGAATTGGGGTACTTTCAAGATCATTACAGCAAGGTGGGGCAAATTATTAGCAATCGACGAAAGCTCTCAATTTCCTTCGTCTTTTGATTGGGTAAAAATTCAAATCCTCACAGAGGCTCAAGTGAGAATTGATGAGTTGGTGGGTTTGAAGATCGGTGCTAATTTCTTTAAAATCATGGTGCATGAAGTTGAGTCTTCCTTCAAACCGAAGTCTTGGGTCCCTGAGGAAGTCGATGATTTTTTAGATATTGTTTGTTCTCTTGGGTTTTCGTCTGACACTTCTCAGTCAGGATCGTCAGACACTTCTCAGTCAGGATCGTCGGTTTTATCATCCGGTTTAAATTGCACTGACGAAGATGTTGCAATTGAAGCTGCCAGCCTATAAAAGGTTTCACTCCTGAAGAGTGCCAAAGGTGTTGAGGATTCGAGTAACAAATTTGGTGAAGATGATCTAATTAAAAGCGGGTCTGTCGGTGTTGGGTTAGGATTGTCTCCATCCCCTTGTTTAGATTCAGATTTTCATTAAACGGAGGCTTTGGATCATTCTGACATAAATATCGTGGAGCATCTATTTGATAAATCAATTGAATGGAGTCAGCCCCCGGGCCTCGTAAGATGTTCTTATGATGAGTCTCTTTCCTTCTAATGGTATACTCGATGACGCAATACAATTACAGGAAGATACCTCAACAGTGCCCCATTTTCCTGGGAAATTAAGTAGAAATCGTGTGGTGAAGAAAGACGAGAAAAAGAAAGGAGTTTTGAATAAAGTTGCAAGGACATATTGATTGTTGGGAAGGAAGTTTGGTTTTGTTCCATTGAAGATATCTTTAGGAGCTGAATTCATTTTGGTGGCATTGGATCGTGATGGTTCATTTAGGAGAGTTCTCTTCAGAGGTGGATGAATTCGTTTTAATGGTTACAGGTGTTGTTTTACTGTTCTGTTATGTCCTTAGGTGTTGGGTGGTTTTTCTTTTGCTAGAGGTGTAACTTAGGAATAAGGTGATTGTCTCTGGGGCTTTGTGGTTGAGGAGGTGAGAGTTTTAGGTGATTCTAGTTTTTTGTAATGGTGTTTATCCTTGCATGATGGTATTCCGTGTTTTTAAATGTACTGGGTGTTTTATTTAATGAAGTATGAGGTACTCTTTTCTTCATTCCAATATTCGTTAACATACTTGTTAGTATGTGGATGAATACGAAGGGAATTTTTAATGAGACCTCCAATTTTTATCAAAAAAAAAAAAAATACTTCAAAAGGGTTTTGGCCTCCCATTGGTTTTTCTTGGGGATAGTTTGACATTGCTTTTGAAAAGTATGGTTTCAAATTAGTGTTCAGTATCGCTGTCAAAAAGTTCTTTTGAGAAAAAATGTCTATTTTAGACATGGTATTATAAAATGAAAATAAAATAATTTAAATGATATTTTTTAACATAAAATAAAATAATTTAAATAATTTAAATGATATTTTTAACAAGAACAAAGCTCTCAAGGAAGTAAAATTCACATTATTTTCCTTTATCCCCATTTCTTTCGAGTTTTTTTTTAAACTTAATTAGAATTTACCTTTTTTTCGAAGATAGAGGATAAACATAAGAAAACGTTTAGAGGAAGATCCTTCAGTGTTTGATTACGATGGAGTTTACACGAGATAAAAGAAAATGTTGTTCGCCCCCGTGTTCAAGATCATGAAAAGCGAAATGTATAATTTTCTAATAGATTTTAGGGTTTTCTTTTTGTGGTTTCTAGGATTATTTGCTTGCTATTAGCTTAATTATTCCCCTTTGTTTGGCCATAAAAAGAAAACCTTAAAATTTATTAGAAAATTATACCTTTCGCTTTTAGCGTCTTGAATACGGGGACGAACAACCTTCTCTTTTATCTCATCGTAAACTCTATCGTAATCAAACACTGAAAGATATTCTTGTAAAGCTTTCTTATGTTGCTCCTCTACCTTTGAAAAAAGAAAAGATAAATTTCAATTATCTTTTTAAAAAAAGCCTTGAAAGAAAGAGGAATAAAGGAAATCAATATGAATCTTACTTCCTTGAGAGCTTTGTTCTTGTGAGCTTGGCGGGAAATCTCTCTCCCCAAGTCATCGTCGTCGTTTTCCTGGAAGCCGCGAGGAGGAGGTAGCGGTGGTCTCGTCATCGGCTTTTTCTGTTAGAACGACGAAACCCTAAGCTGGAAATCTCTCATATTTGTTTGTAAAGATCTACCCAAGGAATCAGATCAAATTTTTTTTCCTGAAAATATGAAGAAGGGTAGTTTATGTTTTAGGGTTCTATCGTCCCAACAGAAAAAGCCGACGATAAGATCACCACTACCTCCTTGCAATTTCCAGGAAGTCGACGACGATGACATGGAGAGAGTTTTCTCGCCAAGCTCACAAGAACAAAGCTCTCACGGAAGTAAGATTCACATTGATTTCCTTTATTCCCCTTTCTTTCGAGGTTTTTTTTAAAAACTTAATTGAAATTTACCTTCTTTTTTTTCCCGAAGGTAGAAGAGCAACTTAAGAAAGCTTTAGAGGAAGATCCTTCAGTGATTGATTACGATGGAGTTTACGACGAGATGAAAGAGAAGGTTGTTTGCCCCCGTGTTCAAGATCGCGAATAGCGAAATATATAATTTTCTAATAAATTTTAGGTTTTTATGGTTTCTTTTTTTTGGACAAACAAATGGGAATAATTAAGCTAATAACAAGCAAATAATCCTAGAAACCACAAAAAAGAAACCCTAAAATTTATTAGAAAAGTATACATTTCGCTCTTCGCGATCTTGAACACAGGGGCGAACAACCTTTTCTTTCATCTCGTCGTAAACTCCATCGTAATCAAACGCTGAATGATATTCCTCTAAACCTTTCTTATGTTGCTCCTCTACCTTTGAAAGAAGAAGAAGAAGGTAAATTCCAATTAAGTTTTTTTTTATAAAAAAAAAGCCTCGAAAGAAAGGGGAATAAAGAAATCAATGTGAATCTTACTTCCTTGAGAGTTTTGTTCTTATGAGCTTGGCGGGAAATTTCTCTTTCCACGTCATCGTCGTTGTCTTCCTGGAAGCCACGAGGAGGTAGCAGTGGTCTTGTCGTCGACTTTTTCTGTTGGAACGACAGAACCTTAAGCTGTAAACTCTAAATTGGAAATCTCTCTCATATTTGTTTATAAAGATCTGCCCAAGGAATTAGATCAAAAAAAAATTTCTGAAAAAATGAAGAAGTATGGTTTACAGTTTAGGGTTTCACCATCCCAACAAAAAAAGTCGGCGACGAGAATATTATATTTTGGGATCGATTTTTTTTGTTGGTACGATGGCTTTTTCTGAAAAGATTAAAATCTTGTCGCCAACTTCTTCTGTTGGGACGACGGAACCCTAAGACGTAAACCGTACTTCATCTT